CATTCGGCGTGACGAGCGAACACATTAACCACAAGGCTCACAGAACACGCTGAAAACGTGATGCACGGTGACCCACAATGCACCAGTGACCTTGAACATTTTTGTCAAGTTCAAGTTTGTGCTTGAGCTGTGAATGCACGTTGTTGGGGCCCTGCATTCTGACAGCCCACTTAATGGGGCTTCGTCAACAGGCGTAGACTGCGATGGTGTATCTGTTTATTTAAAGCATTAAGAACACGAATTACATGCTTCAAAACACAAAGTCGTGTACATTGGACTAGAGTGGTCGGGCAGCCTGGTGGTTAAACGTACGCTCGTCACGCCGAAAACCAGGGTTCGATTCCCAACATGGGTACAATGTGTGAAGCCCATTTCTGGTGTCTCGTCGTGATATTGCTGGAATATTGCTAAGAACGGCGTAAAATCAAACTCACTCACAGATTAGACTAAAGTAGAGCGACAGAGTATGTTTGGTCCGCTGTGACACAACTTTATATTCAACCCATGTGGATATTACATCACACGCATGCCGTAAAACCATGGGCGCGTCGGTGTTTTAGTCAATCTGTGTTCAACCTCAATACTAGTCCACGTAATATGTTTTCCATGGAGTAGAACTGTTGTAAACTGTGGATAGTTATGGTCGATAAAAACTTTGATAGTGAGATTTCTTTGTTTACCTCACATAAAGCAACGAAAGCAAACCTTACTGAAAGTCTCCAAACTTTAGGCAAACCGGAATTATGACGTTAACAATGATCTCAGGAGCTCCCAGGGACACTGTGATGGCCTAGTGGTTAGTGCTTTCAGTTTTCTGTATTTTCATTTTAGTTTTTGACCTTTTCGTTTTGGTTATGACATTTCCATTAGTTTTTGACATTTTTTTTACTCAATAGCTCCTTGAAAGTACATTTCCATGTTTTCGGTTGTTTTTATACATGATTTATCACACATTTGTATGACAAATTGTGTTAATTTGCAAAAGGTTACGATAAAAAGTAAGTGAAACATCAAAATATTGAAAAACAGACTCCATGTCCCTTATGGGCCGACGTAGTTTACTGCTCAAAAAGTGATGTAGACTTTGTCCGCGGTTATATTTGTACAGTCTTCTCCACCAGAAACCACGCCCCCTTCTGTTTCATAGTGAGTGAATACTGTCAATCAGGAATGTTTCGCAAGCATGGTTTATTTTAAGTACTCCGAAGTCTGGGCGTGCTACCCATGCACTGACAATGGTTTCTGCTGAAGGTGATGGTATACTGCCCTGAGCCGATCACGTACTACGTGATGACTTAGCACATTTAAGAATGTGTATGATGATATGAACTATATTGGGGCCGACCGATATAATATCTGTACAAACAATAAATCACGTTTCAAGATCACACAAGAGTAGTTTGATGATGGTTAGATGACAACCTTGGGTAAAAACCAAAGTCACCAGGCATTTTACAAAAAAAGTTTTCTTTCATACATGCATAACAGTTCCCCAGATAAAATGTTTAAAAAACTATCATTCTGTTAAATATGCATTCACCTTTCATTCTCGTTAAGGTCGTTAAAAGTTAGGTACACAATTACGTGGATAAGTTCATCTCAGTCAGAACAAAAAAGGAAAGGAAATTAAAAAGTGCCTCTCATCTTCATCAGTGCGGACATTATAGATACTAAAACAATGTGGACAAATTCTTACCTTGTTGCCATTAATATTATTAGAATCCTTCCCTAAATCTTTTCTCCAGCTATCGTCATGTTGGTTAATAATACATTCTTGAATTTATTCAGTCTTCTTTCTTTTTGAAAAAGTAGATTCTAAAATATGATTAACAACATACAAATTGACCAGTTATTTCACCTTACAAAACCAAGATATTACTATATTTTTTGGACCAGCTAAATTGTTTACAGCATATTCTATCTTATGCTGTTGGTGTTCGTACTAGACAAAAATTCTGAAAAAGCTTGTGTACATATTTACAATAGATGAGTTGAGCCCTATGCCGCCATTAACAACGAGATTAGAGGTATTTTTCCTCACTCCAAGGAACAAAATGGCATGCCTAATATTGCAGGGTATTAATCTCTTTGTATACACCCCACATTGCTGCTCTATAAAACTTTGCAGTTTCAACCAGTGTTTCATGCAACTTGATAAAAACCTGATAAGACATTCCTCCTGTCGTGTCAAATCTCGTAAATATTGATGATAATGCAAGACTGGCTGATTTGCAAAGTTCTTTATTACAGTTTTTTCATGGCTAAAAAACTTATTTAATCACAATCCTTGATATTTTTACATATTACATATTAGAATGCGATATCACCACAAGTGAAATGAAAATTGTATCTTGTTACAGATGGGCACGTAAAATGCACTATATTTGTCTTTTTCCTGTTTATTGATAGATGCTAACGTTTACGCAATTCATTTAAAACGTTGAGCATGAATTGTAGCGACGCTTCATCAGGTTAAACTAGTGCAATATCATCGGCAAATAATAGCATTGACAGCATGACACCATCCATTTGATTACAGCAGTTAAGTTTGTTTGTATCAGCAACCAGACCGTTAATGTACATGAGGAATAGAAGGATTTTATAGCATCAAGCATTTTACTTTTTAAGTCAAAGGTTTCGCTGTTGGAACAAGAGACAGTGTCGAAATGCTTTTTTAAAATCAACAAAATTAACAATAGTTGATTTGTTTGTTTTTTTCTGTTCTGAATCAATGTCGATAAAACATATTGCAGCATTTCTCGTCAAACATGCTCAATTTGGCATATATACTGTCGTCGTCAAATATCTCTACAAAATATGTTTCAGGAACAGTGTTTGAGTGATTTTTAGATTTTATGTGAATGTGTTGATTTGATTTATAATATAACCACGAGATGCAATCTGATATTTTGATCGCACAGTTTTTGAAAGGTACAAAATGCCTTATTTTTCGGTGTCGTTTAATAACTACACACAATAAATGCATAATGCAGAGATCATGAAACAGGTTTCGAATCACAAAAATTAATCTGTATATAATAAGATCGTCCTAGGGCGAACGGTATCTGAGAAACTCAAAGGACATGCGTTAAGGTTGCAAGCTCAGTTACTTTGCGTTATAAGTGTTAAGGTCCCTAGGTTAATAGTTAATCATGATTTGATCTCAGTGACTTATTTGCTCGAAAAGTATCCACAAGATTGTATGACAAAAATGTTGCCTTTTACTTTAACCGTTTCTGTGGAGCAATATTCCAGCAGCTCCGCCCTTGTCTACATTTCACAACGTTTGATGTACAATCGAGCAGGGTCTTTCTTCCAAGATATCGTCACACGACGTTTCCTCAGACGTTGTTTGATGATGGTTACAACACTCAATGCCTCAGTCAAGCTTCAACACGTGTCCTGGTAGACACGTGGTGGACGTTTGCTCAGATGTTGTTTGATGATGGTTACAACACTCAATGCCTCAGTCAAGCTTCAACACGTGTCCTGGTAGACACGTGGTGGACGTTTGCTCAGATGTTGTTTGATGATGGTTACAACACTCAAGGCCACAGTAAAGCTTCAAAACGTGTCCTGGTAGACACGTTGCGGATGTTTGCTCAGACGTTGTTTGATGATGGTTACAACACTCAATGCCTCAGTCAAGCTTCAACACGTGTCCTGGTAGACACGTGGTGGACGTTTGCTCAGATGTTGTTTGATGATGGTTACAACACTCATTGCCTCAGTCAAGCTTCAACACGTGTCCTGGTAGACACGTGGTGGACGTTTGCTCAGATGTTGTTTGATGATGGTTACAACACTCAATGCCTCAGTCAAGCTTCAACACGTGTCCTGGTAGACACGTGGTGGACGTTTGCTCAGATGTTGTTTGATGATGGTTACAACACTCAATGCCTCAGTCAAGCTTCAACACGTGTCCTGGTAGACACGTGGTGGACGTTTGCTCAGATGTTGTTTGATGATGGTTACAACACTCAATGCCTCAGTAAAACTTCAACACGTGTCCTGGTAGACACGTGGTGGACGTTTGCTCAGATGTTGTTTGATGATGGTTACAACACTCAAGGCCTCAGTAAAGTTTCAACACGTGTCCTGATAGACACGTGGTGGACGTTTCCACATTTTTCCCATCAGTGACAGAAACAGTGTCCAGTGCAATTTCCTCTTTGTACTTGTACACAATTTGGCCGGTTGAAAAACTGTGTAAACGGGATTCTCAACATGGAAAAAATTATAAGTATCATGTCCAAATTTCGAAACAAACATGACATTGTTGTTTCCGCGGTCTTGGATGCCTATGGCGTCACCCATTGTATCCTGACGACATAATATTTACAAGATCAACCAACTGTGGTTTCAGTTTAGAGGTTTTGAACACAGATCAGATACCTGCGTATTTCATTTGAAAGCGTGAAGATCTGACAAACCGCCCATAGGAGATCGAGTGAGGTGAATTTTCGGATCGGATAACTAGCCTCAGGGCTTCTAAATTCTCTGTAACAGTTTCCTTTCAAAATTAAACGACCAGTTCCGAATGGAAAAAAAACAAAGACCGAGCCATAACATTGTTGAGGATATTTTGAATATCATGTCGTTTCAACATCCAAAAGGGAGTACCGTCCAGGGAATATTTGTATTCTGCGTCTGCTTTAATATTATAATCGGCATTTACGAATCGAGGTGGTAAAGAAATGCAGTGAGGTAGCAGTGTACATTGAAACAAAGTAGAGCAACTGAGGTTGTTTCCACAAATCTTAATGCACCCATACATTAACCCAGACGGTTATTGCCTCACACGCATACCGGGTGGAACTGTTGTAAGCTGTGGGTAGTTTTTTTTATAAAGCTGGCATATGATTGGCTCCTTCGCATCCTTCATTTAGATTGGTCGGCCAAATGTAGGGTATATCTTCAATAATGCGTGAATACGTGACGACCGTGTTACCCAAGGTCACAACTGTTTGAGGTGAATGGTTTACGACAACGACCGAGAGCGAGGTCGGAAACACCCGGATTCATAGCTATATAAGTTTACGTTCGAGTGAATTAGTCGATACCTCTTCCAGGTGTTTCTTGCCACAGGTCTGCATGAGGCTAGCTGTGATAAGGTAAGGCGTTATTCATATTTTATGACTCTCCACTTCATATTAAAATATCATGAAACTATTATCACGGGTGTGACAGGCTATGCATGTCTGTTAAAGATCTAAACTCTCAAAAGAGATTATATAAGTTGAAAAGATGCCCAATTTATACATGTCAAGTGATGTTCGGGACCGTGTATTATTTTCTTTTTCCTGTCGGCAAATGTCAGAGGACTCACTGCCAATTTCATCTCAGCGAAACTAAGCGGATTAAATTAGACATAATCACTTTTAAATGTCAGCGTTCGTTACCGTATACAGATCAGGTCTCCCCATGTTCAATCTGGCACACCATGTAACGATGCACGATGCAAGACTCACACGTTTAAATCTAATCACAGGTTCATCATGGGTATGTGGTCAACATTTCGATTTGTCATAAATAGCTCTACACCTTAGACACTATTCAACAGAACCGACCAATTGTCAATTTTTTTGTCACCATTAACTTAGCTTGGTTTACTCGTATGTTTTTATGTTAATATTGTACCAAGTTCGTTGTAAGTCCTGGCCGTACAATGTAAAATATCCCAAATTTAATGTGAAACACCTAAAAAATCGTTATTTTACTTCACGTTTCACCTTACATTTAACCTAACATTTCACCAGACATTTCACCAGACATTCTACCAGACATTTCACCAGATATTTCACCTGACATTTGACCTGACATTTCACCTGACATTTCACCAGACATTCTACCAGACATTTCACCAGACATTTCACCTGACATTCTACCAGACATTTCACCTGACATTTCACCAGACATTTCACCAGACATTCTACCAGACATTTCACCAGACATTTCCCCTGACATTTCACCTGGCGTTTTACCAGACTTTTCACCTTGCATTTTACCAGACATTTCACCAGACATTTCACCTGATATTTCACCTGACATTTCACCTGACATTTCACCAGACATTTCACCTGACATTCTACCAGACATTTCACCAGATATTTCACCTGACATTTCACCAGATATTTCACCAGATATTTCACCTGACATTTCAGCAGACTTTTACCTGACATTTCACCAGACATTTTACCAGACATTTCCCCTGAAATTTCTCCAGACATTTCACCAGATATTTCACCTAACATTTCATCTGACATTTCACCATTACTTGACATAGTCTGACATGTTATATTTCGTTTTAATTTTTTAAAAAGGATTTGGAAACCTTGGATCAGTTTTCATCCATATTAAACCCCACTACAGTATCAATCTTCAAATATTATCGACTTTAATTATGCCTGCGTCCACAACACGGTGAATGGTCAAGAATCGTCCTGGTCCTAATTCGAAACAGCTTCGACCAATACTATACGTTTCATTCTGATATGGATGGGAAGTCTAATGTGATGCATGTTTTCCAAGACGTTTACCATTTTGATACCCACAAGCACAGGCATGGTGCTGACAAGCCAGTAACACGGAGAACCTCAGAATGAATCCTTACACTCAGCTAATTACGGCACCTTAGACGACGTGGCCTCCAACACTTCAAGCCAGCCACTTGAATCCTACTATTATCAAGAACGTTTACAACTGAATCCACGTGGCGAACCTTAGAGATTATCTCTCGCTAGCTAACATATTTTGCTATGAATATGCCGATTTCTTATGAACAGATACATATAGAATTAAGGGATAAATAGAAAAATATACTCAAATATGTGCTTTACTGGTATCTGTCTCCTGTGAAGACTGTCCTTTGTCCCCACCTCTGGATTTGTCCGCAATTCCCTGTATGTTGTTGGCTATTCTTATATTGCTGTTTGTTATTGTTTACACCAGTCCATGGCAACTAGTGGATAAGTGTATGAGAAAGACATGCATTGTCAAGTGTCTTCTTTTTGTTTAACGTGAAAAGTGTTTTATACTCGGAGTGTCTATTTTTAAGACGTCTTGACTGGTATGGTCCCTGTTGTTTTGCAGGATGAGGTGTGTCCGAGCAGTCACGTGTCTCCTGCTGTCAATCATTTCAGCGAGGGGCGTGGTTTCAGAATGCCTGATGACAGATGACGAGTGCGTATTTCACCTCACCATTAAACACCGCCTGACCATGATGAAAGACAACATGGCTGTTTTCCCTTCTGGTCGGAAATTGTATAAGTATGACGTCACAAACACGTCAGAAGCAACCCCTATGACACCGGAAGGAATAATCCAAGCCGACGGCTATGAGCCACAGCGCTTGGTCACAGTTGCTAACGGCACCATGCCTGGACCAGCCATTGTCGTCTATGAAGATCAAACGGTCATTGTCCATGTTAAAAATGAGCTTTATAACGAGGGCGTATCAATGCATTGGCATGGTCTTCATCAAAAAGGCACCCCGTTTATGGACGGAGTATCGTTCATTACCCAGTGTCCAATTCTCCCGGGTCAGTCGTTCACCTACAAGTTCAAGGCTAAACCAAAGGGCACCTTCTGGTATCATTCTCACAATGCCAATCAGAGGACCATGGGCCTTCAAGGTCCGCTGATTATCAAAGAGAAGAAAGCATCGATAATGGAAGAAATGGTAATGGTGCTACAAGACTGGAACCACGACGACTCAACGACCGTGCACTTAAAGATGGATTTCGGTGGATTCGAGGAACGAAAACCTCTTGAAACAACAGATGCTATCGATGGGTCCCATTTCAGCCGGTATTTCATGACAAGTGGTCTTATTAACGGCAAGGGCCGTCTCTATGATAAGTTCGGGGGTCATAATGACGCACCGCTATCTATTTTCACAGTGAGACCAAATCAACTGTACAGGTTCCGGGTCATCGCCGCTGGCCACCTCTACCCATTCCGGGTGTCCGTGCACGGTCACGAACTGACCATTGTGGCGTCCGACGGGTATGACCTACGTCCAGAAGTCGCAGAGTCCTTCATCATCAACCCCGGTGAGAGAATCGACTTCATCCTCAACACCACGAACGCAGTGGACAACTACTGGATTCGGGCACAGACTCTCGAGAAAGGTGTGGACCACAAAGCTGAAGCCATCCTCAGATACGAAAGAGCGCCTGATGCAGAACCAACTTCATTCAGGAGAACATGCTCGGAAGCTGATCCGTGTCGCGTCATCAACAGCCCCTTCACTTACTACCCAATAGATAACACTCAAACAGTCAGGTTCGACCAACTCAAATCTTTGTCTAATGATGATCCCGCTCCTCCGGTGACCTCTGGGAAGTTCAAAGAACACTTCCTCAACTTTGCTTTCCCCGGCTATTCACATTTCCCAGGTCAAGTCAATGGACATAAATTCAAGATGCCTAATGTCGCGGGTCTGACCCAAATGAATGAGATTGATACAACATGCGACAAAGTAGACTGCGGGTTTAACAAGACCTGTCTTTGTACATACACCCTCAACCTTACATACGGAGACACTGTTCAGATGGTCTTTCTCAACATGGGCAACGGGAAGGGTTGGTCTCATCCGATTCATCTCCACGGCCATTCCTTCTACGTGCTAAAGATGGGCTATGCCATACAAAATAGCTCCACTTATCAAATCGAAGGCAGTAACATGGACATAAGCTGTAACGGGGATCCTTTTTGTAATGCTCCTACATTTGAAAACTCATCGTGGACGGGGGATAACATACCTGGCCTGGAGCTGAAGAACCCACCGCGGAAGGATACCATTATAGTGCCAACTGGTGGTTATGCGGTTGTGAGAATCCGCGCTGACAACCCAGGGCTGTGGTTCATGCATTGCCACATTGAGATGCACAACGCTGACGGGATGGCGATGATGATCAACGAGGCTCAGGACCATTATCCCTCTCCTCCAAAGAGCTGGCCCCGATGCTCAGGATTTGGCCCGGAAGTGATATATGAGCCAAAGACTAATGGATCAGACAAAGACAATGAAGCAGACAAGACAAAATCCATCCTAAGTAAGTTCAGATCACGACCCTGACAGAAGAATCAGCTCACTTTTAACCTGAGACTGAGAAGTTCTTGCCCTAATGTTGCCTTAAGTCCAAACTTCTACAGTGTCTAAGCACAAACTCATTTTTTTTAGTTTTTGAAAACATTGTTTATTATTGTCCCGAATTCTGAAATATGCTTTTATTAAACTCGAATTTAACCTTCGGTACTGCTCTGGTATGCGAAGCAAACCTTTACGTATTACTCAGGGATAGATTCAGTGGGGAACCAGCATGGCGTGTTGTGTGTTTCACTGGTGTACCAGTATGGCGTGTACTGTGTTTCAGTGCTGTATCAACATGTCATGTTCTATGTTTCAGTGGTACAGTATGACGTGTTCTGAGTTTCAGTGGTGTATCAGTATGACGTGTTCTGTGTTTCAGTGGTACAGTGTGACGTGTTCTGTGTTTCAGTGCTGTATCAGTATGACATGTTCTGTGTTTCTGTGGTGTAACAGTATGACGTGTTCTGTGTTTCAGTGGTGTATCAGTTTGACGTGTTCTGTGTTTCAGTGGTGTATCAGCATGACGTTTTCTGTGTTTCAGTGGTGTAACAGTATGACGTGTTCTATGTTTCAGTGGTGTATCCAATTGACGTGTTCTGTGTTTCAATGGTGTATCAGTATGACGTGTTCTGTGTTTCAGTGGAACAGTATGACGTGTTCTGTGTTTCAGTGGTACAGTATGACGTGTTCTGTGTTTCAGTGGTGTATCAGTATGACGTGTTCTGTGTTTCAGTGGTGTATCAGTGTGACGTGTTCTGTGTTTCAGTCGTGTATCAGTATGACGTGTTCTGTGTTTCAGTGGTACAGTATGACGTGTTCTGTGTTTCAGTGCTGTATCAGTATGACGTGTTCTGGTGTTCCAGTGGTGTATCAGCATGACGTGTTCTGTGTTTCAGTGGTGTATCAGTATGGCGTGTTCTGTGTTTCAGTGGTGTATCAGTATGACGTGTTCTGTGTTTCAGTGGTGTATGAGTGTGACGTGTTCTGTGTTTCAGTGGTGTATCAGTATGACGTGTTCTGTGTTTCAGTGCTGTATCAGTATGACGTGTTCTGTGTTTCAGTCGTGTATCAGTATGGCGTGTTCTGTGTTTCAGTGGTGTATCAGTGTGACGTGTTCTATGTTTCAGTGGTGTATCAGTATGACGTGTTCTGTGTTTCAGTGCTGTATCAGTATGACGTGTTCTGTGTGTCTGTGGTGTATCAACATGTCATGTTCTATGTTTCAGTGGTACAGTATGACGTGTTCTGTGTTTCAGTCGTGTATCAGTATGACGTGTTCTGTGTTTCAGTGGTACAGTATGACGTGTTCTGTGTTTCACTCGTGTGTCAGTATGGCGTGTTCTGTGTTAAGTGCTGTATCAGTATGACGTGTTCTGTGTTTCAGTGGTACAGTATGACGTGTTCTGTGTTTCAGTGCTGTATCAGTATGACGTGTTCTGGTGTTCCAGTGGTGTATCAGTATGACGTGTTCTGTGTTTCAGTGGTGTTTCAGTATGGCGTGTTCTGTGTTTCAGTGGTGTATCAGTATGACGTGTTCTGTGTTTCAGTGGTGTATCAGTGTGACGTGTTCTGTGTTTCAGTGGTGTATCAGTATGACGTGTTCTGTGTTTCAGTGCTGTATCAGTATGACGTGTTCTGTGTTTCAGTCGTGTATCAGTATGGCGTGTTCTGTGTTTCAGTGGTGTATCAGTATGACGTGTTCTATGTTTCAGTGGTACAGTATGACGTGTTCTGTGTTTCAGTGCTGTATCAGTATGACGTGTTCTGTGTTTCTGTGGTGTATCAACATGTCATATTCTATGTTTCAGTGGTACAGTATGACGTGTTCTGTGTTTCAGTCGTGTATCAGTATGACGTGTTCTGTGTTTCAGTGGTACAGTATGACGTGTTCTGTGTTTCAGTGGTGTATCAGTATGACGTGTTCTGTGTTTCTGTGGTGTATCAACATGTCATGTTCTATGTTTCAGTGGTACAGTATGACGTGTTCTGTGTTTCAGCGGTACGTCATGACGTGTTCTGGACTGTGGTCGGCTGCCTGATCGGGGTGTGCGCACTTCAGTTCCTCATCCTGCTGTGCATGTGCTGCCGGCGATACGAGGGGTCGGGCCGGGAGAAATACAGCATGGAGAAAACCCCTGATCCCAAAGTAAACCACGCCTTTGATAATATAGAGGGAGACCTGAACAGTAAACAAAAATTTTGAATCATATTGACAGAGATTTGAATATATATGCATTGTTGAATTTAAAGAAACCATCTGTACATTATTAATTAATTTTAAAAACTTCATTTTAAGAAATCATTGACGAATCAACGACAATTATCATATTGGTCAGTCGGGAGTTAATCAAGGACCAGTATTGTGCATGGTGTGGCGGCATTGGTTGTGTGAAAACCTGAGACACCAATGCAATTAGTTTGTTGATTTGGCTTTTCCCATCAGTGAGGTGTCCCAGTCAATCAGTTGAGCTGGGATTCATAAGGTCAACATCCTAAATGGGACTATCCCAAACTGGACTTAAATATCGATATAATTAAATACGATATATTAAATCCAACAAATTGGGTATCTATATTATTCTCAGCCAATCACAATTTTAAAAATACACTTATTAATTTTCCCGAGAAAGGCATAAATTAGGTATGAAAACATCTTTAGATTTATTACTAGGCAGCACCTGTAATAGACTACGCTGCAGACTACTACGTACCAGCAATGTGGCTTTATCAATGTAGCATTATACCCAAATTGTCTATAATCGCCGTGTCACGTACCAGCAATGTGGCGTTATCAATGTAGCATTATACCCAAATTGTCCATAATCGCGGTGTCACGTACCAGCAATGTGGCTTTAACAATGTAGCATTAAACCCAAATTGTCCATGCTCGCTGTCATGTACCAGCAATGTGGCTTTATCAATGTAGCATTATACCCAAATTGTCCATGCTCGCTGTGTCACGTACCAGCAATGTGGCGTTATCAATGTAGCATTATACCCAAATTATCCATGCTCGCAATGACACATACCAGCCATGTGGCTTTATCAATGTAGCACTATACCTAAATTGTCGATGCTCGCAGTGTCACGTACCAGCAATGTGGCGTTATCAATATAGCATTATACCCAAATTGTCCTTTCTCGCAGTGTCATGTACCAGCAATCTGGCGTTATCAATGTATACCCAAATTGTCCATGCTCGCTGTATCATTTACCTGCTCTTGACCAGTAGGGAAAGTGACCTGCCTGGCTTTATCAGTGCAGCGTTTTACCCAGATGTCATAGAGGCACCACTGGTTGATCGCCGACAAGTTCAGGGACCGGCCACTTCATATTCTGGGAATGAACAGAATATTCTTCACTGCTTCAAGACATACAACCTGTATGTCTGAAAATTAATTCCCATCAAATGATCGCACGAACAAATAGTTGTCAAGCCTTTTCTGGAACGATAATTTTACGCCCCCATCCGCAAATGGAAATGCACTGTCACATATTTCTATCAAAATGTTGCATAGCAATATCACACCTTTCATGCCCGCATAACAATGATGATAACAATTAAGCAACACATCATGTCAAAGATTTGTGGCCATTTCGTTCCGTTTTATTGCAATTATTTTTAACATTCGAATGTAATTTTATTTTTTCTTGACTCTAGCTACATGCAGTAAAACTGTTGCTCAAAGGAGTGTCCACATAAACTTAGATGGACAACTCAAACATAAGCCACTTGAATCTCTATCACACGATGTGCGTACTGTAAAACTGGTCAAGCCGTGTTCACGTGGCTGGATGATGGAGTGAGTCATTGCAGTAGAACCGTAGACGATCGTGTGGATCAATCAATCCATCGTCGACCGCCTCCATGGTCTAATGGTAGAGCGTCCGCCCGGAGAGCGGAAGGTCCGGGGTTCGATCCCCAGCCGCGTCATACCAAAAGACGTTAAAAGATGGTACTTGTTGTTGCCCTGTCTGGCGTTCGGCATTAAGGGGCTAAAACAAAGACTGGTCGGCTCGGAGTCTATCAGTAGCTAGCACTATAAATCGGCATCAGTCTGGACTAGTACAAGCAGCCATACACACATACACGTGCATGCACGTCGCTATATAAGTGCAATAATCTTGGACGCGACGTTAAACTCCATTTCACCTCACCATCAATCCATCGTCAGTACTTCACGGGCGTGTAATCACTATACCATGAGCCAATACACATACGGCCTTGTTCTTGAGAGAGGGAAATACCTGGGAGGGGCCAATCGGCGCTCAGATTACACCGGCATTATTATATTGTGCCGCAGTCATCTACTCCACACATTGTTTCTATATCAGGTTACGGTAGGGCTCCCTCACAGTTCGTGCACGGAGTATCGCTCATTTGACTTTCGTGAGTTTTCAAGACCTCGTTTCATGAGCTGACTGAATACAGACACACGGATAGCAGTCGTGTGTATTCACGGGTGATGGAGTTCTGACTTCCTTGGTCCTTGTGCACTTTGTATATTTACCTGTATAAAAATCACTTATTTTTTTATAAAACCATTTTACAGTACACATGATTCCTGTTTGTGATTTACCCAAAGAAGACATTAACTGTTGTTATGGCAACGCCCTTATCTCGACTATGTGCTTCAGTGGTTAGCCCGATGCTCCACTGTAACTTGTTTGTATCTAGGGAACGGATGGCAGAGTTGTGTCCCTTGAATGCGAATAGTTGCGCCCCTTAGCTTGAAGGATCACTTAACATTGGGACCCGTAAAGATCCGGGTTAGAATAGGCCTTCAGCAAACCATGCTTGCCGTTAAAAGCGACTATGCTTGTCGTAAGAGGCGACTAAGGGGGGTCTTGCTCGCTGACTTCGTTGATGCATGTCATCGTATCCCAATGCGTGGATCGATGCTCAAGATAACAGTCACTGGATTGGGTTCTACGTGACAATGTTTGGCCTGAAAGTATTTTTCCGCGTGATGATTCCAGGTAAGTCTTGGTCCCCAGGACGGCGTGGATCGTTCCTCACAACATCAATCACTGGATTATTAACAGACTATATATACTCGTCATATATCTGGAATGTTGCCGAGTGCGGCGTTAGACAATAAAACAAAAGTGACCTTTCCCATATTCATAAGAAATCTCTGCCAAAAGCAGAGCCGACTGTACGATTCCGACTATATCATAAGTATGTGTTTATGAATCACTATCAAACAGTGATGATACCAGGTGCTGGCGAGAAGGTGAGCGTATCCGGCACCCGTCACAAACACATACAACGGCAAGTCAATTGTTCACCTGAAAAACCACGGGTACATTTGGTACAAGTCAAATTAGGGAATTGCATCGGACATCATTCTTGTCACTGATGTCAAATTTGGAAGGTTCTCCACATGTCTACCATAAAACGTTTTTAAACTTTACTGAGGCCTTGGATGTTGTGACCTTTATCAAACAACTTCTGGACAAGAGTCGTATGACGTTCCTTGAAATCTTGGTTGAAAGAGTATGCTCGATTTTACTTGAAAAGTTGTGAAATGTAGACACCAAGTGCTGGAACTGCAAGAATATTGTTCGACATAATGGGGAGTTAACTATTAAACAAGAGGCGCTGTGTTCTTTACCGAATCTAGAGTGAGATTTGAGCTCCATAAACCTATCCTATAACTAGTTTTAGGGGATACGTGCAACATGTGATGAGAATGATCTCTGATCAGTTTTTTCAAACGAGTTTGACAATTTCAATATGTGCATGAGAGAGGTGATTTGTGTAAACGACTGTTTGATTGTATTTTTTTAAAGTTGGTAAGTAACAGTTAAGATAACTAGCAGAAGCAGTTAAATTCCACCGGCACAAGCCCTCAATCAACAGAGATCAAAGATTCATCGTCCCATCTGCCTACAATGAAACATAAAATAATAGAACATTGCAGCTATAATCATCTCTAATTAATCCTATCAACACTATATTCGTACAGATGTACAGATGGCTGCTTTCTGTTGTCACCATATAAATCAACAATATCCTTTGTCGTTGTTAATCCCTTTCCTGCATACCCTTATGTTGTTTTTGTTCATCCTTATTAGATGTATATAAGTCTATACTGTGGTCCGCCTACGTGGTCTAGTGGTAGAGCGTCCGCCCGGAGAGCGGTCCGGCGTCCGGGGTTCGATCCCGGGCTGCGTCATACCAAAAGACGTAAAAAGATGATACTTGTTGTTACCCTGTCTTGCGCTCGGCATTAAGGGGCTAAAAAAGTACTGGTTGTATCGGAGTCAGTATACTGTGTATGAGTAGGGTATTTATGTCAAACTGCGGCATGGTATCTCAGTGTGCTAGCACATCGACATCATTCCGGACAAGTACAAGCAGCCATACACACACATACTTGCATGCACGTCGATATATAAGTGCAATAATCTTGGACGCGACGTTAAACCCCTTTTCACCTCACCCACACTACACCCCGCTTGCCAAATAGACGTTGTCTGAAGCGCTCGTAAAACATCAACAACTCTCTCTCGCTTATGACCCTGTCACACTACAACGTAAAGCAGTAACGTATGGCGACGTATGAATAGTTTTGACAAAACGCCGGCAACGCTGAAACACGCTATGGATAAGTTAGGCGTAAGTTGTATACGTTAGAAGCACACTGGTATACGTTGTAGTACGCCGAGGCTTAAAACATCTTTGTGCATGCACAAAATTTTCGGCGTATGGAAACGAATAGAGGTATGAATTATACGTTTGGCACGCTCTACATAAGTTTACATACGCCAGATATACGTTACCCATACGGCCCGTTTCAGGCACCTTTCCCCTACACTGAGCGCTAGTCATCCGTTACTCATAAGCTGGGCATACGCTGGCCATACGTTGAACACGCCAGACACACGCTGGCAATACGCTTTTATACGCTTATCATAATTTATGTATAAGTCAGTACGCAGCTAATACGTTAGACATGCGTTACATATATGGTGAACTCGTCATGTATACGCTATGGATACGCCAAAATCATGGTTTTTCGATGAAATCTCGACGTATGACAGCATACTAACTGTTTTTGCACGGTAGGTGCACGCTACTCTGAAACGTTGTAGTGTGACAGGGCCTTTACTTCACTCTAGCCTGACAACGGTATAAGAATAGGTTTATTCGGTATCCAATTCCCTACACATAAGATGAAACCTTTGCACATGAACAGGTGGGACAAATGTTATGCTATCTCAATACAATATTTTAAATATTTTAAGATTTCTTTTGAAGTATATAGCATGTTGCTGATAAACTGAGGGGCAAAAGAAACGCAACCAAATAAATTATGGACGTCAGTTTTTTAACAAATTTGCCAAACAGCACGAAAACAGTTGGTAACACATAGCTGGAATGCAACTTTCCTATTCCCCGTGAACATGTACACGTGCTTCATGTGATTTGCGTGAAAAGTGAATTTAATCACTAAACATTGCAAAATGTGCACAAGTCACCCGTTTGAAATTTTGGTGTAAAACATTAGCAGGATTGTACTTTCTCATCACATGAAACCGTCTAAAACAACGAACGTGCCTCATCTAACCGCGAGAAGGAGAGAGCCATCGGTGTGTTGCAAATAGGAGCGACGCAGGAGCACGTTGCCAGGATCACGAGCTGCTTCAAGTGCACCATCGCCAGACTTGTCACACGTCACAGGCAAACTGGCAGTACTGCAGACAGGCCGAGGAGTGGAAGACCCAAGGTGACGACCCCACAGGAAGACCGGTATTTACGGGTGCTTCACCTAAGGTCCAGATTCCTAACTGTGACGTCATTATCCGTAAACAGCCTTGGACATCCAGTCAGCAGAAGGACCGTTGCAAGACGACTCCGCCTGTATGGTCTTCGTGCCTATCGACCTTTCAAGGGCATGACGTTAACGTTTCTACACCGACGTCACAGAATGGGATGGGCCAGGACTGTACCACAGTGGCAGCAGAGAAATTGGCGAAGAGCGCTCTTCAACGACGAGAGTAGCTGCCAGCTCTTCAAATCTGATGGGCAGGTTCGAATCTACCGACTACGTGGAGAACGGACGGCACGTTGTTACGTCCAAGAAGTGGAGCCTCATGGGGGTAGTAGTGTCATGGTCCGGGTGGAATCTGTGGGGACCAGAAGACAGATCTGGTCATCATCGACGGAAATCTCACTGCACGTCGTTACATTGATGAGGTTTTGAGGTCTGTGTGACTGCCTTTCCTGCAACGACACCCACGGACGCTGTTCAGCAGGACAACGCCATCCCTGACACAGCTCGCTTCACTAGCGACTTTCTGAACGCCAACAACGTCAACGTATTACAGTAGCCGGCCAGATCACCGGACCTATCGCCCACAGAGCACCTCTGGGACCAACTTGGACGCAGGATTCGGAAAAGTCACGAGGCGCCATTGACGAGGGATGCCTTGGCAATTGCCCTACAGGAAGAGTGGCGTAGGATCCCTTATCAGGATGTCAGGAGACTCGTGTACTCAGTTCGACGTCGTATTTAGGCCTGCATCGTTGCTTGAGGTGGGCACATTCGATACTGAGCCATGTGTGTAGCAAGGGACATTAAAATAGATCGACGTCGATTCTGCGGGTGTGATCAAATACTGGACAGTGCACCCAGCATGAAAAACGTGTCTGCAGAACTTTAAGTACATGATTTTTTATCTGGTCATTTTCAAATACCGTTTTTTTAATAATTGTTTTTTCTTTATAATAATCTTTTCCTCAATTTAGCGTCTGTTTTGTTTTAGACCAGAAAAATGTTTGGTGGCGTTTCTTTTGCCTGTTAGGATAGTTGATTGAATTTTGCTCGTGATAGATACATGTAATAATAGCTTGGGATGTTTCTTTGTTTGTTGTTTAACGCCGCACTCAGCAATATTCCAACCATATGACGGCGGTAGCTTGGG